ATCACATCTGATGAAGGAAATAATGCATGTGATAAAACAGAAGTAGAAGACCAGGCTTCCATTAGTGATCAACTGAAGAAGTTATACAAGGAACATTCGGATTCAGGTGCTGAAATCAAACTTAAAGTTAGAAGAAGCTTTGTCTGGGAGGACACCCTGCTTAAACTAAAGAGATACAAGAAGGAAAGTCTCAGTAGTGGCACAGTCAACGTTCAGTTCATAGGAGAGCCTGCTGTGRATGAGGGAGGACCAAGAAAGGAACTGTTCTTCCTTATTCATAGATATATGCAAACATCTTGCCTTTTCACTGGTCAACCAAACAGCCGAAGCTTTGCCCACAATGTGATGGCCTTGCAGAAAGAAGAATACTATTATTATGGTGTAATGGCAGCATTGTCCATTCTTCAGAGATCACCTGGTCCCATAATTTTTTCACCCCCTGTTGTGGACTATATTATCCATGGAAAACTACAAGCTGTTTCCRCGTCCATCAGTGATCTACCAACAGGAAAAGTTAGGTCAAAGCTAGAGAACTTCAGGAAATCAGTGATCCAGATGTGTTTAAGAAGGAAGCTTCATTTAACACCCCATTTAGATTTAAAGCAGGGTATTCCAAACCAGTGGTGACCCTTCAAAACAAAGAAGAGTTTATAAGGTGCATTTGCCTGCATTACATGATTCTGTCAACTTTACCAGAAATAGAACAGTTCATCCAGGGTTTGAACATTAATGGAGTCCTAGATGTCATGAGAAGCAACCCTATGAAATCTCGAAAATTGCTACAGTTCTCRGAAGCTGAAAAGCTCAATGCAGATAAGGTTGACCAACTGTTTCAGTTTTGTTATTCTCCCACTGGAAGTAACAACAGAAGGGATGAAGAAGCAATAGCATTCAACTTTACACATTATCTTCAAGATGTCGAAGCTGATAGGGTGTCAACAAGCATTCTTGATCCAGACACTGATGACCTCAAYTCGATCACTGTCCAACTTACACACATTTTACAGTTTGTTACTGGATGTCCAACCATACCCGCTACTGGATTTGATAAGCAACTTTCTGTGATGTTCAATCACACTGAAACACAAAGGAAGCTCACAGCTAATACTTGCAGCTGTACCCTTTACCTGCCAGTTAGCAAGGTACTTGTGGAGTACGAGTCATTCAAACAAGAGTTCACTGAATGCATGTTCAGCTCACCGGCTTTTGGTGTTGTATAGTTAAGGCAATACACTAGTCATACTTAGGGACCAGTCGTTATTTACAGGGGGGGTGCAAATAGAGGGTGGGGCATCATTTTTTTGCTTCACAAAGGACAGGTCCAAGAGAGACAAAGGGAAATTATGGGGGAGGGTCATGAAAATTTGTGCCAGTGAAAATCAGAATGCACCAGCCCCCTCCCTGTAAATAATGACTGGTCCTTTTCCTATAGAAACTCTTGTAAATTCAGTAGACCTAATCAACTTTGTATGTAATTTGCACAATTCAAATCATGTGATGTTTACATGATGTTCACATGGTTTTAAGTGTACAATTTACAAAGAAAAATGATTAGGTCTATTACAATGCATTGATGATTTTTTTGTTGTTGAAAAGTTTAAAAGAAATGTTTGTTTCAAGAGTGCGCAACTCACCAAGCTTTGGTGTTTTATAGTTCCAAGGCAATACACTAGACATACCTGTATTAACTCTTGTTAATCACAATGTGTAGCTTTCATAACGAACAAGGTTGATCAGAGTTTACTGTTACACCTAAAATTGATTGCTATATAAAGGGATTTAATATCTTACCAAAAAATATGGTGTTTGTTAAAGAACCAGGTTGTTGGACTCTGAATGATTTTGAGTTACGGTTGTCAAAAAAGGATTCCTTTAGATAAAKATTTGAACACTACTGTTAATGTTTGATGCTGATGATTTTTTAAAAAATAACAGTGCCATGTTGAGCATTTCAATAGTGCTTGTGCAGACACTCAAGCCATGGACACTTCAAGTTTTCTTATGAATTTTTCCATAACTATCCAATCAGCTCTTGCCATATAAACAAATGAATTAATCATTTGTAGGAGTCATCCAATCACAACAAWCATGGAAACATGTTTAGGAGTTTTATTTTTACCTTATATTTAAAAAGTAAATCACATAATTTATGCCATGAATGTGTGCTGGATGGTGCTTACTGTAGAAAAGGCTGGATAGCTATGAAAAAKGTTTAAAAAACTCAAATAGTTAATGCGAGTGCCTAGACTGTAAAAATCAAATGAAATATATGAAATACTAAGTTCATTACTTACAAACATAATATGTTTGTAAACATAATAAAACATCATTTTCCTCACTCTAGTTGTCAACACTGTGTATTCTCTACATCTCATTCTCTAGGTATAACCCCAACCTCCCTGAGTATTTCCTATTTATACCAACGTCTTAAAGAAGGTAATCTCCATTGCAGATTTTCTTAGTGTTTTTATGAAAGTCTTCCTTGCAAATAGCTGCTGCTAAAACATTTGCACTTTGTACAAGGAAAGACAAAGAACAACCAATCAGTACAAGCAAAATTAAGATTCAAATTAAGATTTTATTATGTGATAAAAACTGATGCAGTCATTAATGGTGTATCTTATATATGCTTGCTTCCAGCTTTATTATTTCATTATTTCTCTGTGGAAATATTCTAAGGATCGATTTAAGGAAATCTTTGCACACCTAACTGCAAGAATGTTGTCAAATAAGATAAGCAAAATACTAAAATATCAGAATAGGAATTAATTATCTTGATTTAGATTTAAAAAATGAGTATTTGCAGATTGCTCATGATCAGGGGAACTTATGACTGGATAAGATGTATGGTACTAGTTCTGGTGACATAAGCTTTTGCTATCTATAGAGTGAATTCGCATATCGCACTTTGCCATGCTAATGAGTTCTGAATACGCTAATCAGCTGTGTATCTACAAAAACTACCATGATAAGCCAAAAAATAACCGCACAACGAAATAAGCTGTAACATAACCTATATTTCTTAAACTTAACTATCATCGACTAACCGCACAACTACAAAATTATTGCGCAAATCGTACTCAACTATCCTTAACTATCCTATGAAACAAAACTTGAGAAACTGAAACAGTTTTGACAGCTATGAGGTTAGAGCTGACTAAAGAAGTAAAGTATATGTTACAGTTAATTTCGTTGTGTGGGGTTTTTTTTTCATTTTCGTGTTAGTTTTTCTAGATACACAGCTGAATTAGCATATTCAGAACTCATTAAAAGTGTGATTTGCGAATTCGCTCCTATGTGACAATCAAATAAAACAAATTGTAAAAAACTTTTGTTGAAGCATGAAGGTCACTCCTCATTGTCTAAAGAAGTGTCCACTGTACTGTCACTACCATGTTTGGGGAGTGCTGATTTTAGTTTATGTGTGCAATCATCTTACATCGGGATAAAACTGGTCTTCTTGTTGGATCCCAGTTTCCTTTATTACCAGAGCTGGCACATCAGAAATGTAAGCAGTTTATATATATAGATTGCAATGTACTTCAGGTTACTCTTAACAAGCATTTTCCATTARGTAACTGTACAGTTGTAATGCTTCCTTCCAGTGATTGGGCTTTTTAATTCCAAGAAGGGATAGTACATGATTAAAGTACTCTTGATAATCATTGGYGGTTTCAGAACTGGTACATCTCAATCTTGCTTCTTCARTCTTATCCAGAGGTACTGAATGTAACTGATCTGCAAAATTAAACTTTTCTGGAAGAAAGTACAACTCATCTGGCTTGCCTGCAACAGTATCATGCCTTGACTGGCGAATATAGTGTGTATTCCAGTGAACACTAACAAAGYCTAAATCTYTTTGAATTAATTCTGCAAAGCAGAAACAGAGTCCCTCTTCATAAAGCACATTACCTTGTAAGAATGTTCCCTGGTCTTTAAGATCCTTAAAAAAGTTAATCCACCATGAAAACCGACTTCGCCTCAAATAGGACCRCCAGCACTCTATCCTTTGATTGCTTGTTGAACTACCATAGAGATGAGACTTCTCTCCTGCAAACTGGTCGTCATCATCAGCTCTTAAGGAGCACTGTATGCCTGCCATAACACCATTTTMAGTTCCACAGTCTGTTCTAAGTAATGTAGGACAACCACCAACCTGTTCAATACAATCTACGAAAAACCTTGCAGTCACTGCTGGGTCATTGTTTGTTCTATCCAATACAAGCCACATAATGCGCCGGCTATAACCATCTATGGCACCAYGTATAGCGAAGCCAAAAKGTTTAATTTTATCATAACCATCAACATGCCAGCAATGATTTGGCCCTGGTGAAACATATTTCCTCCTTTTTAGTTTATGACGTTTTCTTTCTAGTACTCCAGCTGGGTCTAGTTGCCTCATTAGACGTTCGACTTCTTTTCGAGGAACGTGAACTTTGTACTTTATACGAAGTGTGTGCCACATTCCTCGATACCCCGAAATACAGCCTGGACCATCCAACTCGTGTCTTATCATTCCCTCAACATCAGATAAATCTATATCCTTTTTATTTCTTTGAAGGTTATACGAAGACAATCTTCTTTTCAGTGTGGACATAGACATGACAATGCCATTGTACTTGGCAAGAAAGTTTATGATGGCTTCATAAYTGAATCCGCTGTAGAAATATGCTTCGATTGCTTCTTTTTCACTTACTRCCTWATCTGATAGAAGGATCCTGTATGAAGGTTGATCTGTGTCCTTTTTTATCCCACATTTTGGACAATATTGAAAATCTTCCTCTAATTCTTCCCCACACTTA